CTGGGTCCCTTGGTCCTTGGACTCCAGTCTTGCCCACAGGAGGCTCCCTCCCCTCTGTGCTGTAATTGCACTTCCTGGGGCACCTTTGGTACAAATCTTCAGGCTTGGAGGATGAGCACACCCCAGATGGAGCTCCACCACCCGTGCTCCTGCTTGATGACAATGGGAGGGGAATATGTTGGTGGCTGTTAGTCCCTAAATTGTGCCATTTTTCTACCACGTTGTCCAACAGAGTTAAAAGAAGGGAAGGTCTGTGCCCACTGCCTCTGTACTGATTTGTATCCCATCCCTCAACAGTCAGCTTCCTGGTACTTCACCCCATCTGCACTGCCAATGCTGAATCAGGAGCTGTTGATAAGAATCCTGTCCAAGGATAAGATGTGCCTGCCCCATGTGGTGGTAAATCTCTGCTTTTTCAGTCACCTATATGAAAGTCTTCCATTCCTTTGGACTGAAATCTTCCCAAATATCCTCAAAATGACCCATTCCCATGTCTGTGGAGAGAACAGTAGTGTGCAGGACTGTGGCACCTCAGCCAGGAAACCCTGAATCCAGAAGCAAACTCAGGAGCAAATGGCAGTGACCCATGACTTACCAAGCTCCCAAGAAATCTGTTTAGGAAGTTCTCCCCACCTGCCCTGAGCTTGCCCCACCCCCAAGAGGTCCAGCCAGGCAGGCACAAGGTGCATGGACTGAGGAGAGAGGCTGGTAGGTGTGGGTCTGTGTCTGAGCCCACTCACCAGAACTCAGGTACCCCCTGGGAGAGGGAAGCAGCTACTTGTCCTCTCCCCTGTCTGCCCTGACTCCAGTCGTCCTTGTTTCCACACCGTTGATCCACCTGCCTCAGCCCCAGTTCTCTCTGGTGTCCTCTGTGGAGAGGAGGGGATAGACCAGTTTGTCCTGGGCCCTGGGAATGAGGCCCTGCCCCCTCCTTTGGCCAGGAATGAAAGCACACCAATTGGGCCATACAGGTATGGGACACCAGTGTACACATTCCTGGCCCATGTATGTGTGCTGTGAACACACCTCTGAACATGAGCCCATTTGTATTTGCAGATATACACATTTTCCCTGTGCACACGTGTGCCTATGGGTGTGTGCATGCTTGTGCATTTGTACAGGTGGAAGTCTCTTCATATATATGTCATGCCCACTTGATAGCCCTGGACTGGTAGGGAGTCTGAGGGCTTTTGCTTCTCATATGCTGTGTGCTTTTTTGAATGAGACACTTTCCCTCTCAGAGTTTTTTCCCAGCCCGTAAAATGAAACCTTTTTTATTCAGGAATTCCCCTGAGGACAAGGATGCTCCAACACTGGGATTGCATTAAACCTCTGGTCTAATACATTTGGGGATGGTAAGGTGGGGGCCTGCCGAGTCCCCAGCCATCCCTCTTTCTACAAGTCACCATGTAAGAGCAATACCCTCATCTGAGCCCAGAGTGGGAGGAGATGGCTGGAGCCTCTAGTGGAGCTAAGAGGGATGGAAAGATACAGTGCCCTTCTCCCCCAGGCGTGGGTGAACACAGGCTTCAGTTTGAATGCACGGTGACATCTAGCTTAAGTGGGCCCAGGCTGTGTGGCAAAACCAGGGGAGGACTGCTGGATGGATGGCCTCCCTGCCCCTCTTGCCCACTTGCCCTGTTCGGGCTGTATCTGCATGGTGGGAGCAGGGGAGTGTGCTGCCTCTATTGCCAAAGGAATGGCTTTTCTTGAGCACAAAAAGAAACCCTGGAGGAATTGATGGTCACCAGAGAAGCCACAGCAGACACCTTGATCTGCATGAAAAGATGGACAGGCCACTTTCACGGAGGGCAGTGGGGAAAGGGAGCACAGAGACTGCCCAGGTGGTTTCATCTCTGGAAGACCTGCCATGGATAACAGACAGGGCTGTGGTGGCCAGGGAGAAGGCAGAATAGCCACTGGTCTCTGGGCAGCTTCATCTATGGGGTCTCCAACCTGGGTGCACATACACACACCCACAAAACACCAATCACCATTGGTCAGGATCCACATACCCAAGGCACACACTGCCACCTCCCACGCCTAAATAAATAATACATCAATACCACCCCTATATAAACTGCCCCCACATGGTCCACTCTATGAACACATGAGCACACACAGACTTAAGAAGCAGTCACATACACCCAAATACCAAAATACCCTCTCCTTCTACATCACTTTCTCCTTCCCCCATCTACATCCACATCCCCTGCTTCACCCATACACACCCTACTGAAGGAGAAGGAGTTTCCAGGGAGAAAACAGAGACCTTTGCCCTCAGAAAGATCCCGGGATCGATACTGTTTAGACTCGGCTAGCATGTATTTCCTCTTAGGTTGAGGAAGATTTAAGTTTATGGTTCAATCCAATCTTTAAGGGGGGTAAAAAAAAATAAAAAGGAAAGGCAGAAAATGAGGAAGTTGGAATGGTGTGCTCAAGTATTTATCTCCATGCAGCCCCAGACTTTAATACACAGGCGGTTCCCTAAGCCAGCCCATAAATCAGAGAAATCAATGCCCGTTTATGATCATTATTACTTTCGCTTTTTTTGAAATGGGGTGCAAGAAAAAGGTCTGACCAGAGTCCTCCCCCACTTCTCTACCCTAACCAGGGAAAAGGAATATTTGAAAAGGGGGAGGGCAAGAATGTAGGAAAGTCATTCTGGGTGGTGACTTTAGAGCCTTGGGCAGACTATTGTGGTATAAGTGACTTAAAGAGGCACAGGCACAAGGAGACATGCGAGTCCTGAGAGCTTCAGTTTCTTCCACTGAACGAGGAAGACAATGTCCACAGCGATTGGAAGATAAAAGGAGATAATGGGCAAGAAATCAAATTACATGATAATGACACTCCGGACCATAAGCTGTACTAACATAATCATGGGGTAGGGTAACCCACCTCCTCCTATCCCACTGGGTTCTTGGGGTTGAGGAAGAGCTCTTGGCTTTGATCTCTTGAAAGAGATGAAAAGGAAACTCAAAGAATGGGATGTTTCCTGAAGTTGCTGCTCACATTGTCTCTGTGTCATCTCTGTCCCAGCCCTGAACTTGGTGGTCATGGGGGGCTTAGGTAACCTAATGGGCCACAGTGGGGAAGAGAAAGGAGGGCAGACCAGTTCCCAGACATTCAATATGATAAGGTTATCTGTTGAGCTGAGTGCCCCTACCACACCAGGATATGCCCAGAGAGAAGACAGCACCAAAGTCCTGGGTTAGAGGATAGGTACACTGAACCCCAGCCCCCAAAGAAAGCAAAGCATATGCTTCCAGCCACCAGAAAGGGCACCTATTATGTGCAGGAGTTATTTAAGACAACAATGGTGAGGTGAAAGGAAGGAAAACACTATTATAAAATTGGGGGCCCATCACAATGTCAAATGCTCACCCCAACTCCACTCCTGGCCACCAAGCCCCAAGTTCCTAAATCCTTTGCAAGGATTTGGAGGGAGTCTTGTCTTCCTGGGTATGGGACCTAGCACTGTCATTTCTCTGGCCAGGAGTTAGATGGACATTGGACTAAATAAATGGAATTTTTCAAGAAAAAAAGGTGGAATGATTGGCTATTCTCATTTCCCACAAAATCAATTCTGCAAAAACAACAGAAAATAAACCCAAGGGAAGACAGCACAGAGAACAGGGTTCCCACACATGCACAAACCTCAAAAAACACACCTGCAAAACACATTCCAAACTTGCAAACACAAATGAGTGCACTACACACACTGTGAATTCACAAATGCCCAATTATGCATCTAATCACAGAGAAATAAACACCCAGTTATACAATATGCACACAAATAGTAATACAGATGAAACTGATAGGAACTTAGATATACCAATATCTGCACATTACATGTGCACACAAGGGTATGGACAGCTATCTACCTACTCACCTACATACATGTATTCAGGCACATGCATACATATTGCACAAGAGGGAAAAAAAAGACCAAAGCAGAATTCACGATAATAATAATAATAATTTTAAAAAAAACTGGACAAAGGAGAGATAATACCTTCTAAGGAGGGACCTCCCTCTCCTCCTACTAAGTCTTAAATGTGTGTGTTGTGATCGGAGCAATGCCTATCCTGGAAGGACTGGACCCAGGTTCAATGGCAAGAATACAGATATTTCTCTCTGGGATATCCAGGGGTCCTGATGGAACTGGGGGCTTGTATACAGTGCGCCCCCATCAGTGAAGAAGTAAGGTTTAGTGTGAGGACTAGGCAGACCTGGGTTCAAGGCCCAGCGTAGGGCCAGCGGTGGCCATCCCTCATGGCTTTCCCAGCATTCGGGCCTCCTTCCCCACCCTCCCACGCACCGCCCCCAGCCCGCTTTGTGGGACCTTAGGATCCAAGCCCACCGATTCTCCCTGTGCTACCCAACCCCAGACCCACCGCTTGTAAGAGGGATCACTCCCCCAAACGAAGAGGGACAAAGTCCAGGTTGCAGAGAGGACCAGCAGAAGCATCCCTCTCCCAAACAGGTCGCTCAGCTTGAGAGGCAGCCCCGCATCTCTGCCTGCCCTGGGAAGGCCTTCTGCCTTTGGAGGAAAAAAAAAAAAAATCTCTAGGAAAAACCCATCGGGAAAGGGGAGAAGATTTTTTAAATAATAATAATAATAAAGAAAAGAGAGAGAGAAAGAAACTGGAAAAGAAAAGGTACAGGCTGGCACAAGGAGCAGGTTGAACCGGAGGCCACAGCCGGCTGGGCCGCAGACATAGCCAGCAGCCCCGCACCCCAGACCGTGTTTCCCGAGCGTGGGCTCGGCTTTTAGCCTTTGGGTTCCCTTGAACGCAGGGCCAAACCCAAATCCGAGCCGATTCTTCCATCGCACTCCTCCTTTGACCCCCGCATTCGTTGCGCGGAGATCGCAAGGCCTGGCCGGCGACGCCGGAGCTCTACCCCTGGAGTGCACGCGGTGGCGCCGCCGGGGCAGCTGCGTGCCCGGGGGCCCACGCCTTTCCGAGCCCGCAAAGAGGAGGGCCGCCAGGGGCTCGTGAGCACAGTGTACACTTTATTTCAGACTACAGGTTTCTGAACATAATAAAATCTTTGGCTTGTAGCGGCGGTTCAGTCTCGCAGTCTGTGGGGGTCGTATTTCTCAACGAGTCTCCGGCAAACATAAGGGGGGGCAGGACAGACAGACGGACAGAAGGGTCCTGGGAGGTGGGGGGCGGGGGAGGGGAAGGGCAGACACGCGAGGAAACACACTCTCACGCACACAAAGAAAAGTCCCAGAGAAACGAGGGCCAGCGATGCGGGGCGGGAGGTACTGGGCAGCAAAAAAAAAAAAAAAAAAACATAAAAAAGAAAACAGCAACGAAAACGAAACGGGGGCCGGGGGACAGCGAGGCGGGAGAGGGGGGGATAAAATAATTATAATAATTATAATAATTATAACAATAATAATAAAGGAGATTAATAAAAATGTCCAGCAAATAGAGATCGCTACACATTTGTTTTCCTTACCTGAAATTAAATATATACAAGGTCGTAAGCGGTTTGGCTAGATAGAGCTTTAAGGAGTTCGCAGTTTCGTCCCTTATACTGTGAATAGTGAATAGATCATATTTTTTTTCGATAGCACCTGTCCGAGTCTTTCTCCCTTTTCAAAAATGTTTTTCGTTCAAACGTGGCTGTCCACTCTGAGGATCTCTCTCTGTCTGTCTGTCTCTCTTCCCTGTTGCTCCCTCCCTCCTTTGCGCTGATCATTTCTCCCCAGGCGCTGGGCCCGCGAGGCAGAGGCGGCGGTGCCAGGAGGGGGCTCGGGGCGCGGCGGCCCGAACCGCGCGGCCCCGGCCGGCCGCAGCTACTCGCTCTCGTCTTTGTCCTGGACCGTGGTGGTCGAGTGGTTGTACAGTCCCTGGGCCATGAGGTGCAGCGCCAGGCCGTTCTTAATGCCTGTGGCTTTCTTGATCTTGGCACGCTTGTTCTGGAACCAGATCTTGATCTGGGACTCGTTGAGGCTGAGCTCCTGGGCCAGGGTCTGCCGCCGCTGCTCCGTGATGTAGCGGTTCGCCTGGAACTCCGCCTTGAGTCTCTGCAGCTGCTCCGCCGTGAAGGCCGTCCGCGGCCGCTTGTCCTCCTTCTCGTTCTTCTTCTTCTTCAGCTTCCTGGTGCGCGGACCTGCAGCGGCGGAGAGGGCCGGGTGGGGGTGGGGACGAAGGGCAGAGGGGAGGGGGGGAGAGGGCAGAGGAAGCCGTGAGAATGGCAGAGCCCAGCCGGGATCTAGCCCCGTGCTTCCGGGGTGATCCGGAGGCCCTGCTGGATCACCAGCTCCCTCCCGCCTGGCCAATCCCTCCATCCAAGAGCCCTTTGCTGAACCACTCAGGTCTATGGGTACCTTTCTGGGGAACGGTGCAAAAGTGCCAGGGAGGAAAACTAGCCGAGGTTGTAGGTGCACCCCACATCCTAATTCAGAACAGAAGAATCTGGGGACAGGCTTAAATCACAGCACTTCCTGGCCAAGAAGGCGGGAATCCAAGATAGAGATTTGAAGCCCCATACTGCCTAGCCACAGTTGGAGGTCAGAGGCCTACTATTTTCACAGCCCTGGAGTAAAAAGGATTGGGGCAGTAAGGACAGGCTCTGGTGGGGGATGACCGGCCTGCAAACTCATCTTCCTTTCTTTCTAAACAAGTTATATACATGGAGGCACCTATAATGAGACAATGTGCGCTTGTAGCCATTGACCGGAGAATAAGGGGACAGGGAAGAGGCTGTGAGAAGGTTGCCCAGCTCCAAAGAACTTGATGTCTGTTCTGTGCCTCCTCTTCTTTCTCTATGGCCTAAAAGAAACACTTTCTAGGGCAGGTGGGAGACACTGACTGCTCCTTTCCCTCTGAAGGGAAAGAAGAGGCCTTCACTCAACTGCAGAGGCCCTTCATGGGAAGGGGTACTCTGTTTTGCTTCTTGGATAATACCAACAAGAAAAAGAGAGCCCTTTCCATTCCTCCACCCAGCTACACAGGAAGGTCCCTTCCTCTCTTCTTCGAACCCGCATACTGCAATTTTAGGATCAAAAACTCCTGAATAACAGAAATAGGCCAGACTCGCTTTCTCTGCCCATGGATGCCATTGGCAAAGGAGATCATATCCATTTCCCAGTCCATGAGCAAAACAGGGGCAGAAAGATGGTGACAGACAATCTCTAGAGCAATCTGCTCTATGACTTGGTGGTAAGAAGCCCATGAAGGAAAACTCCCAGAAAAGTAAAGTCTCCCTCCAATGACAGTCTGAAAAGAGGGCTGCTATGGTGTCCAGCCCTGGAGAATGGAAGGAGACCCAGAAGTTGAATCTTCTGGTCTGTCCCTGGATAGCCTACACCTGTGTCCTGTGACTTCTGTGTCCAGGTCTCCTGGCATGGACTTGCTGGGCCCTGTCTTGGTTACGGGAGCATACAAGTTATGTCCCTGTCAGGCCTGTTACTCTCTAAAACTGTCAGGAAAGAAGGGTCTTTGCCAGCATCTCTAAACATAGCGACAGAGGGGTAAGATGGGCAGCTGGCTCCTGGGGCAGGCTACCGTCTGGGATCACCAGCTGTCCTATGACAAAGAGTTCAGGCCTAAGCAGACTGTAGTGACTCAGGTCTAGCTTGGGGATCATCCCCCTGAACTGCCCAGACAGGAGAAAGATCAGGTCCTCTGCCTGTCCAGGCCCATGAGAAGGAAAGCCATCACAAACAAAGACAAGGCCCCCTCCAGAGCAGGACTGGGGTTTAGATTAGTAATTAGCTGAGCGGGCAGAGATGGCCCAGGAAACGTGTACATCCCCAGAAAGGCCCCACTGCGCGCGGTGCGTCTGGGGCATGTTGGAGTGTTGTGTATGTGTGTGCGCGCAGAGGCACGGACACTTGTAATAAAATCGTAGCCTCCCGGCCAGACCGAGCCACACAGCCTGACAGCTCAATCACTCTACCCATCAGGCGAGTCAATCAAAGCAGCTTTTCGGAGGTTCAGGGAGCCCGACGTGTCAATAACGGGGCTCGAGATGGCGGGGGCTGATAGCGCTCATCGATCCGCGCCTGGCCAGTGGTAGTACCGCGGCAAGAGACCAGCCAGAAAAGAACGTAGCTAGGCTGTACCTGGCCCCCTGGCAGACCCCGGGTTCCTAAAATCCTGATCATGGGCCAGAGTCCCTACTATTCTCTTAGTGGCCCCCACTGGTCTCCAAGGCGCTGCCGGGCCCAGTGTGTCTGGCAGGCCTTGGTCTCCTTTCCGGGGCCCAGCTTCTGTCCCAGGGCAGGTCTTGGCCTTGAGCTGGCCAAACGCAAGGGGACACCGAACAAGAGTGGAAGAAGAGCCCAGAAAAACCAGCTCGTGGCTGGCCTAAATCTGCTAAATGGCAGATGTTCAGAAGGACGGAATGAAAGAAGGAAAACGCAAGGCCGCGGAGAAACTGCTGGAGAGGCCGGTTCTCCTGTCCTTCGCCCTGCTTTCAAGCCTGAGCCGGACCTGCTTTCTCTCCTTTCCCACTGTCTGTCAGCTCCCAAAGAACCCGAGGCCCCGAGAGCACCTTCCTGGTAACTGCCTTTCACTGGATTCTACCCACCCGGATCCGACTCTTTTGCAACCTGACTGAAAGAGGAGGATGGCGTGCAATGTCTTCTTCTCCCTTCCTGTGTTTCCCCATATCTGTCTCCATCTATGTAAATGGACTCTCTGCAGAATATATCGAGATTATGTTTTTGTCTGTAAGAACAGGCAGCGAATATTATTTCTCTGGCCAAAGCGTTCCCCAGTCAAAGCCTTCCTCTACCGGACCAGACTGGTGGAAATCAGACCCAAATCACTAGGCCTGTCTTCCCGCTAGCTCTAAACACTCCTTTCCTTGTAAGAAAAAAATCAATGACTAATTGTACATCTTTCTTAAGAATAATAAAGGTAAAACACAAAAGAAGGCCCCAGGGGCTCAGAGTTCAAAAATCAAAGGATCCAGACCTCCCCTGCCAGGAACTGTAGTTTCCCGGGTGGTGGACTCAGAGGCCAGGATCACAGATGTGGACACATTCGGATGTGGCTGGCACCGGGGTAAGGAGGAGGAATCGGGCTTGCGAGAGGAGAGCGCCTGAAGCTGGGTTTGTTCTCCCCAGCGCGGCGGCTTGTGGTTCTGGGGGCGACCGGCGGGACCGGAAGGCACAGCGAAGCCCCGGTTTGGGTACTCACCAGAAGATGGACGATCCGAGTAGCGAGTGCAGTAGACCCAGGCGGGCCAGACGAGGGGCTGCTGTGAGTCAGTTTTGACCACGGGCCCACCGTTGGCTGAGCCCATAAGTAGGATGGCAGGGTTGCCGTGCTCCGGGTACTTCGCGCTCTGTGCGCCGGGACTCCCCGCGCCGCTTCCACTGCCGCCGCCGCCGCTGTCCGAGGGCTTGGCGGCTGCTGCTGCTGCCGCCGCCGCTGCCACGGCCGCTGCCGCCGCCGCCGCCGCCGCCGCCGCCGCAGCCGGGTTCCCGGCTTTGGACGCGCCCGCGCCGGCGGTGTTGGCGGGCTGGGAGCCGTCGGGTGGGCCACAGTTCGCGTCCGCGGCGCATAGGAGCGAGGCGGCGCCCGGCGCCCGCGTGCCCAACGGGTGGACAGGGTCTCTACCTGTGCCAGTCTGGCCTCTGTCACGCTCGACCCGGCCTCCTCCTCCTGCGCTTCCTCCGGCCGCCGCCGCCGCCGCCACCAGGAGCTGCGGCGGCGGCTGCTCTTTTTTGCAGCCGAAATCCGGCCTCAGGATGTTGTCGATGAAAAAGTTGGTAGTGCGGTGCAGCTGGGCCGCGGGCTGCGGCTGGTGAGCAGGCGCCGCGAGATGCTGCGGCGGCGGCGGCGGGGGCGGGGGGTGCGGGGGGAGGTGCGGGTGGTGGGCCAGGGGCGGCAGGCAGGGCGCGGCGGGCGGCGAGGGGGGCGCGGGCTGCGGGGATACGGGCACGCTGTCTCCATCGCTGCCGCTACTGCCGCTGGCGCCGGGACTGAGGCTCAGGCTGAGGCCGCCCGGGGCCGCCGCCGCCGCCGCCGCGCCGAGGCCCGAGTCGCGCTGACTTTTAGGTTCCGGCTGCTGTTCTTCCATGCTCGGCCGCCCCGCCGCCCCGGCCGCCGCGCCGGCCCCCGCCCCCCCCGCCTCGCTCCCCACCCCACTTTGCCAGCGGCCCGTGGGGGTGCGCCGAGGAAGGAGGCAGGCGAAGCCTCAGCGAAGGCTCGGGGCGGGTGCAGGAAAAAAAGCCCAGGCGTCTGGCCTGGATCGCTTGCTCTTATCGAGCAGATAGATCTCGCTGTCTCTCCCTCTCTCTAATTTGTAGACATCCAGATAATGTAGACACTTGGCTATTTCTTTTCCTTTCTGCAACCAGATTCAATGATTTGTTTTAAATGGGGAGTAAGCCACGGCCAAAAGGAAAGAAAAAAAATGAAAAAAGAACAGAAGAAAAAAAGAAGAATAAAAGCTCTAAGATTCTTTTTCTTAAAGGGAAAAAAAAATAGTCTTTAAAGTCTAGCCATCTTCCTAGGCAGTAGTGAGGGGTTTGACTTCCCCGAGTGTCACGCTCAGCTGTGCCCAGAGCGCGAGGCTGGCAGCGCCTTTAATCGCCTTTGCTTTTTTTGCAGGGAGAGCGCGTCTCCGCCAGCGCCGGGCTGCCTTTTTTTTTTTTTTTTTTTCTCCCACAACTCTCACAGCTCGCATCTTTGCACAAACTCTCTCGCTTAAAAAAAAAAATCACCCAGGCACACTTTTTGCCTTCAAACCGGAAGCACGTGAGTCAGGGCCGCACGTGTGCGGGGCCAATAGCGAGCCACGACTCGCGCTGACACTCGGGGCTTGGCCCAATGGGCGCGCGCGGGACTTTGCGGATAAATAATCCGGGGGCGGCGGCATCGGGCGGAGAGGGGGTGCCGCCACTCGGGCCCGGTGCGTCCGGCCCGCCCTCCCCAACTCGCGCCCGCGCCCCTCCCCCTTCTTGAGGCCCAGACTGAGGAGGGGGCTAAAGAGGCAGGGGAGGGGTGGATTTCGGGGTGTAGGCAAATAGAGAAGCAACTCCATAAACAACTTGTTGGAGAAATGCAGGATTATGGGTGCGTGCGCGCCGGGCACGGGGTCAGGAGGCAGGGGTCTGGGTCCTTCTGCACCCCCCATGCCTAAGAAAGCATTTCTCTTTCCTTTTCTCACTCCTTCCTTCCCCCCCCCCCCCCCGCCCTTTGCGTTATGAAGGGAGAAAGCTTGTTGTTACTGGGTGTGTGAGAGTGTTTGTGTTGTGTGTGTGTGTGTGTGTGTGTGTGTTGGGGGAGGAGTAAGATCAGGAGGTCCGTGATGTGAAATAGACCTAGAATTGGCTACTTTCAAAGGCTCAAGTTTATTTTTCACAAAGAGCAAACCCGGGAGGCCTGCTGCGCTAGCTTGCACTGCCAGTTTGTAAGTCTCACGCCAGCCGGCTATTCTGCATTTCCTTTCTGGGGAATCCGCACCCATGCCCTTCCCTCCGGACCTTCGACAACACCCGGGAGCGGCCCTGGCGCCATGGAGCCAGGCCCAGAGGGCACAGAAGAGACCCAGCACCCGCTGCCTGTTCATTCCCTGGCTCCAGGAGTCAGAGTTGCCCCAGCATGGTAGAGTCGTCCAAAAGAGGGCACTGGGTAGGGCAAGTCAGACCGCGAATGCACTCTAGGCCTGGATTTCCAGTTCAGGAAAAACCTCCGTGTTAGATTTCCCAGCAAAGTAAAATCAAACAAATAAAAGCACCGCGCCCCAAGTGTTTGCCCTGGCCAGCCGACTTTGCGGACAATGAGTTTACCTCAGTTTCGGGGCAATTGAATGTCCTAGGATTGCTCCCAACTCCCTGGGCGCCTTCGACTGTAACCCTGCGAATTCTTCTCTATCTTTGGGGGACTACGGCCGGTCTCCAGCAGCCCCCACGTTCAGGTCTGCGAGAGTTCTTTTTCGTTATTTCCTTGGCAAAGCACCTCACAAGTTTTCCACACCAGGGATACTTCGGGGCGTGGTGCGCTGGACACTGGGTGGGGGGTTGCCTGTGGAGCTCTTTTGGAGGGCCTGGGTTCGACTGTCTCCTGAAGTCTGCAGTGTCCGAGAAAGGTTCCAGCAGAGGAGGCCTTCACGGACATGTCGTCTTGGAACTCCGGTAGTCCTGCTCTTCCTGAGCGCCATTCTCAGTGATCTCTTTAGGGATAGTATCTATCTGGGACAAGTGGGTGGAGGCGAGGGGGGACGACCTTCCCCTAGTTTTCCAGAAAAGTCATAGAAAGATTAGGAGAAACATATAACTAAAAACAACAAGCCAAACTACTGCAATATCTGAAGTTTCTCCAAGGGGTTGCAGGAGAGCGGGAATTCCTGGCTGCATCTTGTATTGCTGGCTGCATCTTGGGGTCAGCCGAGGGTCCCCTGATTTCAGAGGCTGAGTTCCTGGCTGAACCTCCCCGGCGGGGCGGCCTAGTATCCAGAACCTCTTCCCCGAGCGCTGCGTTGGGCAGACCCACCGCGGCCTCCTAAACTTTCCCCAGCCGTCCCCATCCCCACCTTGGAGTCTCCAGGGTCCCCTTCAGTCTCACACCCAAGAGCTCCCCGAAATTTCCAAGTGCCCCTACCCCTTCTTTCCGAAATGGGGGTGGGATTTTATTTATATTTAAGTTCGCAAAATTGAAATCTTTATCCCGCAAGCGAGCGTGGGTACTTAATTAAATTCTAATTAGGACACTATCAATATCCTATTTAGCCGCGTAGCTTTTGTGCGCCGCGGTCCCTTTCAGCGCCGTAAATAGGGTCTCGACGCCTTATCTCGCCTGCAGGAGACGCCTCGAGAAGGGCTGCGGAAGATAATTTATAGGTTTTAATTACTCTTCATTCCGCCTGATCAGCTTGGCGTTCATCACAGGCCTGTGAATAAAACCCTGGTCAAAAGCTCTGTCACATCGCGCTGGCAAGACGCTTAATCAAAGTGAGCGGCCCCGCGCGCCGCGCGGCCCGGCTCCTCCACGTAATTTCCAGCCAGCTGATAAAGCCAGCTGAATAATGCGGCGGCCCTTTGGAGACACCATTTACAGAAATGACTTTATTGACGGCTTAACGTCGGTAATTCATTTTACCTTTCATGTAGTGGAGCCCGGATTTGTTACAGTAATGGGATGATAAATGCACCCGCGGCCCACGAGCTCGGGCTGGATTAGGCGGCGCTCCACAGCGCGCTGGCTTGTCCCCCCACCTTCCCCCAGGCCGAGCCTGGGTCGGATGCTCTATGCTCCGCACCGCCTGCTCTCCACAACCCCCACCCAGGCCCTTGGCCCTCCTCTCTCTCCTGAAATTGAGCATACTACTGGGAACTCTGTACTAGCACATTGGAGTCCTAGCAAGCTTCAGATGAGGTGTGATCTGGCTGAGTAAGCAAATGTTAGCTGAGAGGGATATGTGAGGAGTCCAGAGGACTGGGTGTGTGAGTGAGGAACTATAGAGCAGGGTGAGTTGACAGCACTAGTATGGGATTTGGTGTGCAGTGAAGTATTTGTTCACATATGGGTACACTGCAGTGGTTGCCATTTCCAGGGTACTCTTTTCTGCCTTCGGCAGTAAAGAAATTTCTTCCAACTTGCTAGATGCTCAGAGCAGGATGGTAGAGAGTTGAGTCTGCAGGAAACAGGTGAGGGAACCTGTCCAAAATGGAATGCAGTCTCTTTCTCCAAATGCCATCGGTTACTGGGCCAAATGTATGGAAGCTGGCCGTTGAGCCCAGTTTCCATTTCTATCGCCTTGCAGTTCAGTGCTGCTGTAATTACCTAAGTGAGAAGTCCCACAGAAGACCACCAGGACTGGGCCATGTCCTTGCAATAGATTGATTGTCTCCAAATTTACTTTTCATATCCAACCCAGATAAAGTGGAAAGTGACAAGGAAGAAAAAAAAAAAGATTGTTTTGTTTCAAATGTCAAAAGGGGGAACTTCAGTAATATCTCTTCCAACTTGAAGGAAAAGGGGAGACCAAAGAGGCCTGCAGGGGTAGAGAGTGGAGTAAATTGGATAGGGAGAGACCCCAGCCCTCTGCCTCTTTTCCAAGCTTAGACAACCTCCATTTTGAGGCTAATCAGGAGCTTCCAGTAAGCAAGACACCTGGCCAAACAGAAGGGAATAGTGTGAATGAATTTTTTGGGGGGAGGGGGATGCTGCTGGAGAAGTTTAAGGATCATGAAATAGAAGGACCAATGAGTATTCTAGGGTTGACACTGACAAATTGTACCTTTTTCCTCCCCTTTCTCAATCTGGCAAAACCCACTTAGTGTAATCTTGGGGAGTGACCCAATCTTGGGCTGTGGGACCCAGGGGCTTGTATTAGTGTCTGTTTGTGTGAGAGCCATCCGGAGAGAAACCCAGTCTATAAAAGCATTTCTGTGTGCCTGTATAAAATTGTATGTGGCAGGAGACCCTCACATGTGCACATTAGCATGTACATCCAAGTCAGCTGCACGAGTCAGCAGTAAGAAATGCATTGGCTGAGAGTTTTGCTGTGTTCTGCTCAGAAAAGGAAATCTCCCACCACCCTATGTTTTCACATGATTTTTGGATTTCCTTTAAGGAGAGACAAATATTGGTCCCGTGCGCTTCCACTTCTGAGGGGGAGGAGGAAAATTGTGGAAGAAAACCCTGCAGGCTGGCCAGACATGTGTGCATGATGGGCTGGGAGTAGGAGCGTGTTGCCTGCACACGGTGGTAATCGCATTTCGAGTGTAGATCAGATGGCGGTGGGGCCTCGTGGTGCGGGACATGAATGAGTTGTCGCAACACAATAGCGCGCAGCCTTCCTACGGGGACTGGGTGACCAGCGGTTTTGTTGGGAGTGAATGCGAGGAGATTTCTGCTACAAGTGCCGCGGTATTATTATGAGCCGGAAGGTCAGACTATACATCTCAGGTCCCCAAAGCCTATAGACCTTGGGAAATGTGGGGCCTCGAGCCACGTCATTGTACCTGACAGTCCTTTCAATAGACTAATTCAATTAGCGCTCAGGGTTTCGGTCTTCATTTGGAGGCGATAATAATGTGAGGATGGGTGGGTGCTGGGGGATTCCTTAGGTATTAGTTAGGGATCCTAAGCAATTCTGTCCGAAGCTCAGAATGGGACAGGGGGAAGGCCAAAGAAGGTTAAAAAAAAAAAAAGAAAGAAAGAAAGAAAGAAAGAAAAGAAAAGGTAAAAAGCAGGTGGATATGTGGGTAAGGTGAACCTTAGAAAATAGATTCTTTGTTGACTCACGAAATTGGGGTGGCAGCTTTGTTTTCAGAGGACCCAGAAGAGTCTTGGACATGGGGAGAGGATTCCTTTTTTCTGTGTATATGAAACGCATCTATAAATGTCCGAGTTCCTAGAAAGCCCTGGTGTTGGAGGTTGTCACCTTTAGGAGTTTCAGTATTGGGATTTATGCCCCCATAATCCAGTCTTTCCCCAGAGTTTTCTTCCTCTTATTGGAAGACGCAATTCACAGCACGGACATTTTTGTTCTAGAAACATTGTCTTTTCTCTCCTCTCTCTCTTTCTCTCTCTCTATCTCAGACGAAATGAACTAT